AGAACTTCCCCATAGGGTTTCCTAGGCTGTAATCTTTAAGGATCTTTTCTCCCATGGAGCAGGGTTTGAAAACCTTGGGCAAATCACTTAACTTCTCTGAGCCTCGATTCCTTCTCTGCAGAATAAAAGCACCTTCTAAATATATATTCACAGAGTTTTGGTAAGAATCACATGAGATCATGAATGGAAAGTTATTTTGAAAACTAAAACAGAATTTTAAAGTTTGATGTATTAATCTGCTATGTTAATATAAAAATTCTTCCTCAAATCAAGTATTAATGAATTGTATAATTAGGTCTTTTGGAATTTATTAGCGCCTCTATGATATTCACCCACTTGGTAACATAAATTGAACTGATTAATTGATTTTTAATTTATTTCCTTTCTCTTGCTCACCCTCTGGTGGAGGTGCTTTTAAAATAGTGAACATGCCAAAAAGCAAATAGATACAAAAGGCAGAGTGAAAAGAGGTCTGAAATGAAATAGTATATTGAATATTTAACTATTAAGTTAAATTCACCCTGATATAGTTTTCTCAAGCATTTGCCTTTTATTTCTGAAGGTTTTTGCAAGGACTACTTTGGTTTTTTGGCCAGTTTTGTCTGAAATGATCTGCCTAAGCTTTGGCCAAGGTATTCTATTAACTGTACAAAACAATTGAATTTAATCATGTTTTTCTTCTAGAGTATTTTATATGGTATTCCTACATATCATAAAAAAGCCCACAAAGAGACAAATTATTGATTTATTCGTAGCCTTGATATTGCTTTATATTATTGTTACATAGATTTAGATAACTATGTTGTTTCCCCTTTAGTAATCATGTTTTTGTTATAGGTGAAGCCATTCCGAGTTAAAATAGTATGTAAAGCACACTCATTTGGAATCAACATCATTCAACATGATTTGCTATTACTTGCAGCTAATACACTAATGCTGTAAATAGTTGTGGAATTTAGTCTTTTTATGTACATTGAATTAATTATTGTCACTAAGTAAGTACATTTTCTCGTTAGTAGCTCAAATTATTTCCTGAATCACCGAGGTTCACTGTTCAGCTGGGGATTGGACAGCCCCATAAAACAAAATAGGACTAATGAGGCACAGCAGTCCAGGGACAAGGATGAGAAGGCAGAAGGGGACAGGAAGGCTGGTGATAGGGAACCCAAGGTTGAGTAAGGACAATGTTGACATGTAGTGGGGTTCTTAACTATTGTCATAGAGCAACATGTGTACTGTTTAATGAGAAACTATTTTGTTCTGTAAACCTTCATCTAAAGTGAGAATAGCAGCACAACTGGAAGAACGTAATTGATGTCACTGAATTGTGCATGTAGAAATTTTTGAAATGGTATATCTTTGGCTATGTATATTTTCACAAAAAAAAAAAAAGATCTAGAAGGGTTGACATGTCGTCGGGTTGTTAACCAATTTCATAAAACAATATGTGTACTCACTGTTTAATGAGAAACTGTTTGTTCTGTAAACCTTCACCTAAAGTACAATAAAAAAAAAATTCATCGTAAAAAAAAAATATTTCCTGAATCAAGCCATTGAAAATTGTGCTTTTGATTGGTGAAGTTGCCAATAGATACTTATGTTTTATTTTATTTAAATAATATCATAAAAATATAGAAGATTTTCTGGAAGATATTTTCATTAGCTAGCCGTGGCATTTATAGTAAATGCCAAAAAGTAATATATGAATATAAAACATCGAACGTTTAACAGAAATAGTAGAAGAAATTTTCCAGATATTATCTTCTAAAAGAAAGAGATTAAAAACATTGACTGTATGAGAAAAATATAATCTTTTGAGATGATCAAATGAATGTATTATAGTTCTTCCCTCTTTGGTTTTACTTTCTGTGTCTATGGAAGTCATAGTAAATAAAGAAAAGGTATGGCTTGAATTTATTTTTTTTTCCTTATTACCTAGTTAACTTACATTTTTGTCTTCCATTGAACTCACCTAATCCAAAATTTGGGTATATTATGGACATAAATCCAGCACTAACATCCACTTTTGGCTGTTGATATTGGTTTTAAAGCATATCCCTTCATGCATCTGCCCCCATTCCATTGCTAGTCAGCACTGACTGACAAAAAGGCTGTCAACCAGAGAGAAGGGTTTGATGCAAAGAATTTGACAACTCATCAGCTAGAAAACCATCCCCTGAATAATTCAAAATCGATTGAAGCCTTTCCCCATATATAAACTTGTTTTGCAGTTCCATTCATTTTTGCCTGTTTCCTATATATAGCCTTGGAAAACATAGATCAGTGATGTAGCAGCAAAAGACATCCTGATACCAAATAGGAAGCAAGGAATTGGAAGATGCTTTGGACCTCTTAATTTCCAGGCCACTTGATAGCAGATGCAGTTCATTACACAGGAAAATTGCTTGATCTTGGGAGAAGAGGGTGCTGTAGGTGAGAGAAAATGAGTTAGTCACCAGTACAGTTCACCTTGCAATTCAGTCATTTAGATCTAACTAGAGAATGATTGCTGCCATGTTCCAGATAAAGAATGAAAGCGTCTTTGTACAATAAAATGGTGAATTATGTTTCCCTGTGTTCAGAGTCCATGAAAAAAGAAAAACAAAGAAGAAAGTAAATATCCTGTATATGTGAAGGCACCATTTGTGGAGCCTATGTAATCTACTATCACATGATTTTATTTGGGCTTCATTTTAGCACTAATAGATTATTCTTTCTATTTTATGTGTGTAGAAACTGAGATTCAGAGAGGCTACAGCCACACAGTTTTTTATACTCCAGATTGGGACTCAAACCTAGACATTAACTACAAATCTCATGTTAAAATTCTTTATTATTATTCTGTTGTACTCAACAAACACAAAATCATATCCAGGGCTCTGCCAGGACAAGATTCTAAAGCTAAATAAAGTGGTAATATTCAGGAAATAGAGAAATATTTTAGTGAATATTTTGTTATATATCCAATATTTCTGTAATTTTTTTCATAGTATACAAAATTTAGGATAACTTGTAGTTCTTTCTACACTTCCTCTTCTGTAGTTGGGCAATTCCATGAACAAAAAGCATTCCTCCTGGTCCTTGTTTCACTTGCTGAGATGATCTGCCTTCCTTGCTCCATCGTCCGCTCGCTCCCACCCCTCACCGTGTGCCCTTTATTCGTCATTAATTTCCCTGGTCTCTGACCACCCACCCCCATTTTTACCATCTACACTTCATAATCAATTGTTTCATAAACACTTTTATGACAGAGACCATGGCTAATAACTTCTGTCAATAGAGATGAGCATATCTGAAAAAAAAACTTCTTTAAATCTCTTCTATAATAGAAAACTACCATCAACGCGTGGTATAGGACGAGGATCCCGATTGCAAGCTAGTATGGAAAGAGATCATAGTTTATCTAGAGCACTTAATAACCTGAACCTAACCAACCAAAAGCACAAAGGCTGAAAAAAATGATCATCTTTCTGTAATGGGATATCAGAGATTAGCCATTGCATATCGGTATCATTGTGTATGGTGTGAATATTGTGTACCCGAGTCCTGGGAGCCAAGGAGGAAAAGGTTGATTTTTGAAGCAAACATCTTGAATGTGACTAGGCAAAACAAAAACGGACAACAGCAGTCAGAAGTTGATAGATATACAAAAAAAAATCTGAAACAATTTAAATTCTGAATTAGAATTTGATAGCTCTGTAATAGAAAGGGATCTAGACTGTCCATGAAGACAAGGACACGTGATGATGTACCTTTGGCGTTACTTAGACAGAAAGTGTCAGAGATGTATCCTTCTATGAACTTCTATGTAGTTGTTGTTAGGTGCTGTCAAGTCACTTCCAACTCATAGTGACCCTGTGTACAACAGAACTAAACACTGCCCACTCCTGCACCATTCTCACAATCTGCATTATGCTTGAGCCCATGGTTGTACCCACTGTGTCAATCCATCTAGTTGATGGTCTTCTCCTTTTTTGATGACCCTCTACCGTACCAAGCATGATGTCCTGATGCTTGGGCCTGATCCCTCCTGACAACATGTCCAAAGTGTGTGAGACATAGTTTCGCCATCCTTGCTTCCAAGGAGCATTTTGCTGTACTTCTTCCAAGACAGATTTGTTCGTTGTTTTGGCCGTCCGTAGTATATTCAATATTCTTCACCAACACCATAATTCAGTTCTTCTTTGGTCTTCCTTATTCATTGTCGAGCTTTCACATGCATATGAGGTGATTGAAAACACCTGGGCTTGGGTCAGGCGAACCTTAATCTTCAAGGTGACATCTTTGCTTTTTAACACTTTAAAGAGGTCTTTTGCAACAGATTTGCCCAATGCAATGCATCATTTGATTTCTTGATTGCTGCTTCCATAGGTGTTGATTGTGGATCCAAGTAAAAAGCAATCCTTGACAACTTCAATCTTTTCTTTGTTTATCATGAGGTTGCTTATTAGTCCAGTTGTAAGGATTTTTTGTATTCTTTATGTTGAGGTGTAATCCATACTGAAGGCTGTAGTCTTCGATCTTCATCAGTAAGTGCTTCAAATCCTCTTCACTTTAAGCAAGCAAGGTTGTGTTATCTGCGTAATGGAGGTTGTTAATGAATATTCCTCCAATGTCTGATGCCCCATGCTTCTTCATATAGTCCAGCCTCTCAGATTATTTGCTCAGCATAAAGATTGAATAAGTATGGTGAAAGGATACAACCCTGACACACACCTTTCCAGACTTTAAACCACTCAGTATCCCCTTGTTCTGTTTGAACAACTGCCTCTTGATCTATGTACAGGTTCCTCACGAACACAATTAAGTGTTCTGGAATTCCCATTCTTCGCAATCTTATCCATAATTTGTTATGATCCCCACAGTCGAATGCCTTTGCATAGTCAATAAAACACAGGTAAACATCTTTCTGGTATTCTCTGCTTTCAGCCAGGATCCATCTGCCATCAGCAATAATATCCGTGGTTCCATGTAGTCTTCTGATCCCAGCTTGAATTTCTGGCAGTCCCTGTGGATATACTGCTGCAGCCACTTTTGAATGATCTTCAGCAATATTTTACTTGCAGGTAATATTAACGATATTATAATTATGTTATAACGATCTATAATTTCCTCGTTCTACTGGGTCACTTTTCTTTTGAATAGGCATAAATATGGATCTTTTCCAGTTAGTTGGCCAGGTAGCTGTCTTCCAAATTTCTTGGCATAGATGAGTAAGTACTTCCAGCACTGCATCCATTTGTTGAAACATCTCAGTTGGTATTCTGTCACTTCCTGGAGCCTTGTTTTTTGCCAATGCCTTCAGTGCAGCTTGGACCTCTTCCTTCAGTGCCATCAGTTCCTGATCATATGCTGCCTCCCGAAATGATTGAACATCGACCAATTCTTTTTGGTACAGTGACTTTGTGTATTCCTTCCATCTTCTTTTGGTGCTTCCTGTGTCGTTTAATATTTTCCCCATAGAATACTTCAATATTGCAACTCGAGGCTTGAATTTTTCTTCAGTTCTTTCAGCTTGAGAAATGCTGAGCATGTTCTTCCCTTTTGGTTTTCTATCTCCAGGTCTTTGCACATTTCATTATGATACTTTACTTTGTCTTATCGAGCCACCCTTTGAAATCTTCCATTCAGCTCTTTTACTTCATCATTCCATTTTCTTTAGCTACTCAACTTTCAAGAGCAAGTTTCAGAGTCTTTTCTGACATATATTTTGGTCTTTTCTTTCTTTCCTGTCTTTTTAATGACCCCTTGCTTTCTTCATGTGTGATGTCCTTGATGTCATTCCACAACTCATCTGGTCTTTGGTCATTAGTGTTCAATGTATCAAATCTGTTCTTGAGATGGTCTCTAAATTCAGGTGGGATATAATGGGGCAAAGCAAAGAGAAAAGGTAATAATTACATTAGTACAAGCATAACCCACAAACATAGTAAGATTTTTTTGAAATATAATTTTAAAAGTTCTTATGTTAAAATAGAATATAGAGCCAAAAGTTGATAACTGTATTTGTTCCTTTTGTACTAAAATCAATTGCCAACCAGATACAAAATTAATTTGTAGAACTCTCAAGGCATTGTGCCTTCAATATGCACGTTCTGAATTACCTAAACAGAAGAATAAAAGAATGTCAAAATGGGGTGGGGATAAAGTTTTTAATATATCACAAGATGTCATAATTATTGTGAAAGGGAATTTAAATAACAGGGCAACCTTTCTCAAAAAGATATATCACTCATAACATCATAGTAACCTATTCCTTCAAGCTAGAAAAGCCAAGACTTAGTTTAATGATTCTCTCTACTCAAAAACAAATGACTGCAGGGTAGGAAGAAATCTCCAAAGGCTACCAGAAAGACAATTAAGACTAAAAAAATTAAAAAGGAAGAAAGAATTCCCACTACCACCATGACACTAAAAAAATATTTTAGGAGACTTACTGTAATTGTGTTTCAGAACAAAGACTAGTTTCTACAATGGTTCTACAAACATACACATATACACAAGTTGTACTTCATTGAGAACTTTAAAGAGTAAATGAGATGAGAGATTTATTTACTTTACATTAACTGGATATCTGAAATTATTATGATGATATAAAGTTAAGGGCCTAGTCACTCTATCCAAGAAAAAATCCTAGAAAGAAAGTAAATATAGAGACAGGTAATAACATTTTTACACAAAGAAATGTTGACAGAGAAAGAATACCTTTTAAAAGTCATCCAAGTCTTTAGTAAAGATCTTAGAACAACAGAAATCGTAGTGAAATGGAAGGATTACTTAATGAGTTTCTGAATTTCTGGATGGAACCAACTATTGGTTTAAACTGAAAAACAAAATCCATTGTGGTCGAGTCGATTCCAACTCATTGCAATGCTATAGGATAGAGCAGAACTTCCCCATAGGGTTTCCGAGGAGCAAGTGATAGATTTGAACTGCTGACCTTGTGGTTAGTAGCTGAACTCTTAACTACTGTGCCACCAGGGCTCCCTGAACGACAGAGCACTATATAAATGCGAATGATTTTATCATCATCATCAAAGCTCTTAGCAAAGTGTAGCAATTATCATAATTAAGTAACAAGAGCCATTCTGTTAAGCAGAAGAAATCAGGATAAAGTAAACATTTGCATCATTATATTAATATGGCTTTGAACCTACAAAGTTAATTTGTAATCGAGCTTCAAGTCCCTAACCGATAAATTCCTCTAAAGAAATCAGTGAGGCAAACAACAAAATAATCTACCATCATATAACCAAAACCAAAACCAACTATTGATTTAGGGTGCAGTAATTACTGTGCTTTCAATAGCTGAGAAGGTCACTATGAGAAGGTACTGGATTGTTTTTAGAAAACTAGGTATGCCTGTGTAAGATAGCTGAGATCGTGTCTTAAGCCAAAGATATCAAAACATGCCATGTAACTTTATACACCTAGTTTGGAACCAAGGAAGAGTGGCTAATCTTTTAAAGAGGGATACTATGAAGAGTTCACTCATTCATTCACTCACTCATTCGTTCAACAGATATTTTTTGATCTGTTCCTGTGTGCCAAGCACTGTACCAGTTCTGGGGATACATCAAGAAACCATACAAACAAACAAATCTCTGCCTAACGGAACTTACATTCTAGTGGAATGAGACAAATAATAAAGCAACAAATACAATAAATAAGTATATAATATGTTAGAAAGGGATTAAGTGCTGTGGAGATGTAGAGCAGGGTAAGAGCGATTGGAGCTTCAGAAGGATCGTGGTTCCCTCTTTTAAACTCCAAAAACAGGACAACTCCAGTGGGCTACAATGAGTAGAGGAAACCTGGAGGAAGGGTGCACACTAGTGTACTGAGGAGGATCTGGATGGAGCTAGGCATGTAGGAGGTCCAGTGAATGATTGTTTCATTTTAGCTACTCAAGAATGCATATTTGGTCCAAAGCAGGTGTCCTAACAGAAATTAAGTGGTATAATTCTCATAAAAGAAATTTATACTTTTTCATAAATGCTACAATAAACAAAACCTGTGATGTCTTCCATTAAGTGAATGCCTAACACCTGTTCCCTTTATTTACCTTTTGCTTTTCATTGTATTAAATACTATTTTAGTACTGTTTTAAAACAAAATAACTGAACATATGTGCGGTTTTATTCATGAAACATTATATCCTTTCATCGTGTTAATGACTATAGAATTGTCTATATCTGTATGTTTAAGAAAATAGGGATAATTTATTTAATTGCCACGAATGAATATGTACAGCTCATCTGTTTTCGAAGAGGGCTGAAGAATATGAAGGGATTTAATAACTTAGGGATGGGCTAAGGACCTTTGGCTTCATGTATCTTTTGCTTAGTTTTTTACCCAACTATAATGTTGCTGGATCCCTGGTGGTGCAGTGGTTAAGAGCTCGGCTCTTAACCAAAAGGTCAGCAGTTAGAATCCACCAGCCACTCCTTGGAAACCCTATGTGGGTAGTTCTGCTCTGTCCTATAGGGTCGCTATGAGTAGGAATCCACTCGGAGGCAAAGGGTTTGGTTTTTTTTGGTACAATGTTGCTACAGTGGTATTTCCACTAGTGGTCATTGTCAGTGACACTTAAGTTCAAGACCATATTGACATATGAACTTCTTCCCCCTTTTATCAACCCTTGAAAGATCGTTAGAATTAGGAAACTAATGTGTTATTACTAATCTGAAATGATAATAGTATAGAGAACTTCGTGCTCTTTGTCAGCTAAAATCTCACTTGATCCTACCAATAACACTGTGATATCTGGAAGATTCTTTGGAAACTGAGGGTCAAAGAGGTTATTTTACCAAGGCCACTTACCTAGTTGGGGAGTGGGCAGAGGGCACAATGTAGGGGGCAGCGCTGACTGCTACCCTGTCCTTAAAGAACAAACGTTTAGTTATTTATGTTTTAGTGACTTGGTTTTGTTTTGAAAACTGAGAAGGTACTTAATAGGGCTTAGCACACCCAGATCTCTGTATTGTCGAGGTAAATGCCCTTCCTTCAGTGACTAAGCATGTTTTCCTCTTGCCCTACTGTTCTGTTTCCCTGCCCTGCCCTGCCGGCAGCTCAGCTCACCTCATCTCACCCTTCCTTCTCATCTCAGGGGGTTAGAACAGAACTGCTGTCATCTCCAATGAGGGCAGCAACCAACTATGTACAGGACTTGCAGCTGGTTTATTTCTAATTGTTATGCTTACTTCGAATATGATCTGTAAAAATTTTTAAATGTGAAGCAATGTCTCTTATACAGTCTATTCACTTAACAGTTCTTGATTGTTTAAGATTAAAAAATGAAATCTTAAACTGGATATTGTAAGAATATTTTCAAAGAAAAAGTTCTTACTACCTTGTAATTTATGGATCAAGGCAAAATTTTAGACTCCAAATCTGTGAAATGTTCCAGTCTCCAAACGCTGAGAAATTCTAGTCTTTTACTGTATACTATTGAGTGTCTGGAACATTAACCACCATAGGCTTTGCCTCAGGTTTCTCTTTACAACTTGATCGTTAACTAAGCTTGCAGAGGCATAACCTATCACATTTTGTTTTATGACACAGCAAAATAAAAAAGAAAAATGACTCCTTGAAATCTAGAATTTTTTTTTCTTGCTGTTTGAAAATTTTCTTAGAGAAAAGTTTTTTTGCCGTGCTGTCCTAAGGAATTAGAAATTAAGTTTAATTGCATAGTGAATAATGGGATGGAATTTAGCATTATCCAGCAGGAGTGCCCCACCCCAATCACAGGTGAAAAGCATTTTGTTATTTATGGAGTGTCTCTAAAGATTGAAATAAATCCACAGTAGGAAGATAGGACGATGTATAAACTGTCCCACAAAGCTCAATTTCTTCTTTTGAAAGGTCTCCAGGTGAGGAGACTTACAACCTCATTCCAGATTTTTACTTTTACAGGTTCATTAGGCTTCCTCAATGCTCAAATGGCTTACTGCTTTTGGATTTTGGGATTTTCTTCCTGGTTTTCTCAACAGGCAATAAGACAAGGTAAGCCCCTCTACTTTGTATTCTGAATCCCACAGCTCCTCATCCCCTCAAGGACTTTGATCCTGAAATTATCTCCTTCTTTCTGCATCGGTACTACCTTTGCTGTATAGACATGCTGTAATATTGTAAACTCAATGCTATCAAGTCAATTCCGACTCTATAGCAACCCTATAAGTCAAACTGTTGTAGTGTTCTATAGTTCAGCTTCCACATGGGGTTTTCAAGTCTGTAATCTTTACAGAAGTACACTGCCACATCTTTCTTCCGCAGAGTGGCTGGTGGGTTCAAATCCCCGACTTCAGTTAGCAGCCTGGCGCTTAACCACTGCACCACCAGGGCTCCTTAACGTTGTAAAACCCAGTGGTTATTTCTCAGCCCTCAGATAACTTGTGGTTGCAAGTCCTCACAGCTGGTCCTCTATCCCCCTTGAAATACTTTCTTCACTTAGTATTTAGGACATCATACTTACCTAATTTCCTGAATATTTTTCTATCTACTTCTTTCGATCTCTCTTACTTGCTCCTCCTCCCTTCCCCAAACTGTAAATGTTAGAGTGCCAGGGCTCAGTCCTTGGATGTCCTTCCTTCTCCAAGTGATCTTATCCATTTTCATAGCTTTAAATTTTTATCTTATGCCAATGGCTCCCAGATAAATATCTCCAGCCTGGACCTAATCCATGAACTCCAGACCTGTATCTTCAGTGGCTTATTTGGCCTCTTCACTTGGATGACTAATAGTTATTGCAGACTTAAACTGCCCTAAACTAAGCTTCTGGTATCACCGCTCCACCAAACCTGCTCCTTCTGAGATCTCAATCTCTTATTTTAGGTAATATTAATTCCATCCTTCTAAGGGCTTAGGCCAAAACCTTGGAGTTAATCCTGATTCTTCTCTTTTGCTTAAATTCCTCTTTCAATATCTCAGAAAATTCATATGTTCTACTTTGAAAATGCATCCAGAATTTGACTACTTTGAATCAGCTCCCCTGCCACCACCCCGGACCCAGCCACCACCACTCATCTGGTTTATTATGATCACCCCCAGTGGATTTCCGTTTCTACCCTTGTCTCAACAGAGCCTATTCTCAACAGAGCCACCAGAGTTATCTTGTTAAAACACAGGTCAGATCATGTTACCATTGTTCCTCAAAGCCCCCCATGGGTTCCCCCTCAATAAATTAAATGCAAAGTCTTCGCGGTGGTCTGCAATGTCCACGTGATCTGTCCCACCCCAACTCTCCAAATTTACCTCCTACAGTCCCCCATCCTTCACTCCATTCAAGTCACATCAGCCTCCTCATTGTTCATGACTGTGCCGGCATGTTCCTGCCTTAGAGCTGGGCTTAGAACCAAAGTCTCTCAGATTCCAAAGCTTATTTCTAAATCTAGATAATTTAATCGAGACACTGCAGAAATCCTAATCAGAATATTCTCATAGACACATAGTACCTTAGTCATGTATTAATCTTTAAAATGCCGTTATTAAAAGGAAGTCTAAACATAGTACTTCATTTTGCTGGCTATTTTCCAAAATCTGATATAAACAATTACGGGACTGAAAAGAAAAAGATCTGACAGAGTTCTGTGATGTGTGATATATACAGATTGTGTAACTATGAGTTATTCAGCTAAAAGCTTCCTAATACTGTCAACGAATATTTAGTATCTAGCAGAGCCCTGGTGGTGTAGTGGTTAACAGCTTGTCTGCTAACCAAAAAGTCAGCAGTTCGAATCCACCAGCCACTCCTTGGAAACCTTATGGGGCAGTTCTACTCTGTCCTACAGGGTCACTGTGAGTCAGAATTGACTCAATGGCAATGGGAGGGATTATGTGCTAGCATCTACTATGACCCCATATGTGTCAGGCCTCATGTTAGGAAGATACAGAGGTAAATGAGAAAGACAAAGAGAGGGAGAGGGAAAAGGAAGAAAGGAAGAGAGAGAGGGAGACAGAGGGACAAACAGACAGACAGAGAAAGAGAAAATGAGTGAGAAACTGGAGAAGCCCCAAGTGATTTTGCAAAAGTGGCATCACAAGAAGATGCCTTTGTCCGAAACAGAATATAACATATGACTGTCAAGTCAATCTGGATTTTAACCTAGTAGAACTTACTTAGGAGTCTCTGGGCAGTGCTAATGGTTAACATTCTAGGCTGCTAACTGAAAGGTTAGAAGTTCAAGTCCACCCAGAGGAGCCTTGAAAGAAAGGCCTGGAGATCTACTTCTGAAAAATCAGCCATTGAAAACCTTATGAATCACAGTTGTATTCTGACACACACGGGTTCGCCATGAGTTGGAATCGACTTAACAGCAACTATTTTTTTCTGATTTAAAATTTACTTATCAAGCAAGTCATACCCTGAGTAGAATGATGCTATAATTGCTCAAAACCTTTTTGAAATTCTCATTTTGGAACAATATTCAAATCCAACTTATAAGCTTAAATGGCATTCAAAAGCAATCTCATTATTTAATATCCGTACCTTTTTTTATTTTTATTTTCCCCAAATGGAACTGCCCACTTTGATTACTTATCGTGCCAGATTTGATGTTTCAGAAAATTAAATTCACTTTCAAATGATGATGGTTTCGTGGCTTTTAGGACATTCAAAAAACTATGGTTTAAACTTCCAGACACATTTTTCAGGGGCCTCCAACTTCCTTCCAAAACTGCCTTTTCCATCTTATCTTTCATCACTTCCCTCAGATAGTCCCATGTGCTGTGCTCCAGATTAAAAAAAAAAAAAAAAACATTGTCTTTGAGTCGATTGCGACTCATAGTGACCCTATGGCTGTGAGTCAGAATCGACTCAAAAGCAACAGGTGCTCCAGATAACTATTCCTGCTTCCTCTCCTGGATTACCCTCGCGCAATGCCCCTGACTATGTGTCCTGATTCTACCCATTAAAGCCTGAAGCCCCTTTCATCCTGCCATCAGAAAATGAAACTTCCCTTCTCAGAACTCCCATAGTACTCTATCTTTAGCTTATGAGACTTAACGTTTTTGCTGGTTGTATCATCTGCTATTCAGTAATCTTAAGATTGTCTTGTTCTGTTTATTTTTGATAACTTTATAACATCTAGCATCATACATTTCAAAGTCTTGGAAATAATGCTCATGGCAACCCAACTGCTCCTAGGCGGTCGGGGCACAAACACTTAGGCAAGGACATTGGTTTATCCTCTTCAGCCTTTTCTGTAAGTGGAATAATTAATTAGCTGAGGACAAAGATGGAGAAATTCGCTTCTCTTTCTCTTTAAAAGTAACTTTATACCAAGACTAAATGCAATAGCGAACAATTTTAATTGTGTTCACGATGTAAAGGAAAAGGTGTTGAAGATAAGGCCTCAAATAATTATCTAGGTAGCAATTAAAATAAACAAATAGAGCTATGTGTCTAAATAGTAGAGAAAGAACTGGTGGTTTCAGAGGAACTGCTAATAAGATATTGCCATACTCAGCCAAACTAAATGTAACTTTACCTGGCAATTTCCCCCAATTTAAAAACGCTATGATTGAGAATTTATAACTATTTCAAAAAGTACAATTGATTTATGGTTAAATCTGACAGATTGCATACATATGTTCATTTCTGTTACCTCTTGGAATCTCACTAAAATGGCTGTAAAAACCCAAAATGATATCAACCCATTAGGTCAAGGAACAAGAGAGGAGCATAGCAGATCAGGATAGCAACAAACTAGAAGCAGAATCAAGACAAAGGAATCCATATCTAAGTACACCTCAGGAAAACCTCTGAAAACCAAAGACAAAAGGAAAATCTTAAAAGAAGCCAGAGGAAAAAGGAGACATTATTGTCAAAAGAGCAAGCATACGACTGAAGCTAACTTTTTGACAGAATCATCAGAAGCCAGAAGAGAATGGAATAGCTTCAAAAATGTTGAAATAAATACAGACTTAAAATTCTACACCTAGTAAAATTATCTTTCTGAAATGACGGTGAAATAGACATTTCCAAACAAACAAAATATAGAGAGCTTGTCACCAGCAGACCTCCAATAAAAGAAATATTAAGGAGTAATGTTTATGATGCAGATGGAATTTGATCCTAGAGGGAGGCTTGAAGATGCAGGAAGGAATGAAGAACAATGAAGGGAGTAAATATGTAGATAAATCTAAATTATAATGGACTGTATGAAACAATAGTAATATTTTCTGGGGATATATATGACAAAAAGAACAAATAAGTGAGGTAGGAGTTGTAAATGTAGTTAAGGTTTCTGCAATTGCCCAGAAAATTTGTAACTACTCATTTATATTTCACTTTTTAAAAATCAAGATGTATGTTTTAGGGTATATTTACTAAAAATGTAGTAAAAGAAATATATACATACATATTTCTCTAATAAGCTAATAGGAGGGAGATATGGAATACTAAATATTATACTATTAATCCAAAAGTAAGCAAGAAAAAGAGATTAAGGAAAAATAACATAGAACAGGAAAGGGAAAGGCAAGGTGGTATAGCAAGGTGATATTTACATTAAATGTAAAGAAATTAAATAATCCAGTTGAAAGACAAAGATTGTCAGACTAGATTAAAAAATAGCAAGTATATGCTATCTGCAAAGCACACCTTAAATATAAGGATTCTAGAAGACTGAAAATAAAAGGATGGAAAAAGATTTACTGCATAAACATTAAACAAAAGAAAGCTACTGTATCTATACTAGTATCAGACTTTAAAGAAAAAAGCATAAATAAAAAGGGAAGTTTCATGATGATAAAACTTATGATTCACCAGGAAGAAATAATAATTGTCAATTTGTATGCCTCTAGTACACAAAATCTCAAAATATATAAAGCAAAGATTGAGCAATATAAAAGGAAGAAGTTACAAATCAAAATCATATGTGCTGTTTAACTTCTCTCTCAGTAACTCATGGAATATTCACATAAAATACATTAGTAAGGATATAGAAGATTTGGGCAGCACAATTAGTTAAATGACTTAATTGGCATACATAGAAATTAGAATA